TTAATATTAGATGCTGCCACACTTGACCGCACTTGCCACTTATTTATTATTTATGTTTATTATTTTTATCCACCGAGCCTTTGTTAATAATTGTGCTTCTGGGAGGAGATAAGCACTTTTCATTTCTTCTTTATGGATTGGAGAAAACCTGATTTTGTCATCTGATAAAAACGTTACCTGAATTTCTGCCATATTCTCTTATTATTGTGGCACCTAGCAAATAGAAATAACGTTGGTAATTCTAACTATACAGAAAGGAGAGTTTGGTCTGATTTAAAGAAAGAAAAATGTGTCTTTTTGTTCAGAGTATGTAAACTTCTGGTTACAATTGTAAATTATCAGTCAGGATTGCTGCTTATCTTTATCTTATTTTTTTATTTCTGTAGTCTTGGTTATGGGCTCCATGGTGGTGAAGTTGATAGCACTGTTTCCTAGTGACAGAAAGTTACAAGTTCAAATCCCAGCCTCAACCTTTTTGCATGAAGTTTGCATGTTGTCTCTTTCCATGCATCAGGTTTCTCCTTGCTTCCTCCCATACTCCATAAACATCAAGGTTTGGTTAAATGGCTTCTCATGCGTGTCTTTCCTGTGTGTCTCTGTGTTACCCTGGGATGTACTGGTGAGCTGCCCAGCATGTACCTGGCTTTTTGCCCAAAGACTGCTTTAGATGGAACCTCCTATGTTATTGCAGAAAGCTCAATGAGACGGTGAAAAGGGCTCTTAGACCTAGATTGAAGTGTTTTGTGAAAGAGCCTAATGATTTAATGACAGAAGTGCAGACATTTATTAAACTCATAATTTATTCACATTAACAGCTCTCTGCAATGAGAAGATATGGAAATTTAAGCTGTTTATTTAGTACCTTGTTTTGTCTGTTGTGTAAATCTGCTGATTGTACGTTAATGTAGAGCCTCTGAGGTTTTGCTGTGGTTTCCTTCAGCCTCATCTGTGGCTGCCTGAGCTCAGGCGGAGTGGAAAAAGGTGGGGGAAGTGGGAATTGTTGGGCTTTGCTTTTGAGGAATGATTACCCCTCTCACTCATTTTCCCAGAGCTACTGGAGTGGAATAATTAGGTAGCATTTGCAAATCTGAACTCCATTCACGGTGAGAGGATAGTGATGAATGATAAAGAGGAGCAAGAGAAAGAATGGACCCTACTTCCTGTGGATTGCCCTGAGCCCTGCACAGCAGCGATCACATTATTTACAGCTGAGGATTTAATGCATCGTTCAGTAATGAGCAAGCAGCCGATGGCCTGTGATCTGAAATTCACTTATTCACTCACTGGGCTGGGCTCCAGGACTCCAGACCCTTCGGACTGAAACTGAGCCAACTCCGCCTTCTAATTCAGTCACTTTAGCCTTTTGCATTGTTGAGTGTTGCATGCATGCTTAGTAATTAAAACATATGATTCAAAAATACATGCATTTGACGTTTTTAATACAACAAAGTCATATGAACTTGTGTAATAATCGCCCTGTTTTGTGGATGGACATGAAGTAGACACACAAACCTGTTTTTATGATGCCTCATTAGTAAAACTCCAGCTTCTGTGAAATCTGCTTGGCGAAAATCCAAGTTTACAGTGACATCTGGTGGTGAACACGACACATATCACTGAAACCTTTACAAATTTTTGCTCATGTAGTTAAACTTTATAAAACGTGTTTAGAGCTGCAAAAGTTACACAACCTGTCTTTCCCAAAAAAAAAGAAAAGAAAAAAAATACAGCTTATAATTTTGATGAAAATCTACTGTAGGAAATGTGCTGTCATTCTTGAATAGCTACCATTTTATTTACAGTACATTTTGGACAAAACTTCTTCTGTGGGATGTTGATTTTTATGAAAAATATAGTACAGACACAGTTTTCAACCTAATGACAAAAATATAGATTTGAAAACAGGAACTATTGCAATTCTGGATGTTTTTGTGGTGGAAATTCAATGCATGTATTCCATGAAAAACAGAGCTTATTTTAAGAGTCATTGTGGAAGATCCATTGAGCTGTGGGTTGCAAGACCCCTGTTTTAGGCCATTTTGTCAGCTCAGTTCAAACTTCCAGTAGCGAAGGCCCTCTTTATTTGCCAAAGCCCTTCTTAACTAAGAAACATTTTTTTCTGCTACTTTACAGGTCCTGGTGAACTGTGGCAATCAGCCTGAATGGGAGTACCTGACCAATCTTCCCAGAAGTGACCTGAATCGTTAGAGCTGGGGGAATCCTGCTGCAGTAGAAACACCCACTGAGAGCAAGAGAAAAGCTCATTGGAGCTGGAAACATTTTTGTTAAGTGCCCAAATCCTTTCAACAGACTTTTCAGTGTTGAGGAGCAAGTGACTCTCCTTTGAGGTTCACCCACATGATGATGGTGCCCTGATGGAGGGCTCCAGTATACCATAAGGGGTCACTGTGGTCAGTGGACCTTCATTTTATTTATTACATTTTTTTTTTAGTTTTGCTTTGTAACTTGATAACTTTTTTTGCTTTGTATGCACTGAAGCCATTATCTGCAGAGATGTTCTAACCAACAATTCACTGTTTTCTGCATATCCAATATTGGGTCACAAGGGTAACAGGTTCTGGGGGGAAACCCAAACATTCCCCTGGCGACACTCTGGGGCTCATCCTGGGTGACCTTGAGATGTTTCCAAGCTAGAAGGGATAAAACGTTCCTCAAGCGTAAGCAGGTCTTGCCCTGGAGTCTCCTCCCACAGGAGAACAATAGGTTGTTGTTTTTTATTTTGCATTTACATTCAGCGTTTTTAAAATAAAACAATTATACGTCTCAACAATTTAAAATTGAAGTTGTGTTTATTTATTGTTTAAAAGTAAATCTAAGTGGACAATTTTATTTGTTCCCCAAGACAAATGCAGCAGTGACAAAAGTGCTGATTTTATTCTATGACATAATTACCTCATTATCATAATATGTGTATCTGAAAATATTGATAGCAGGGATTCCATGGTTTCCATAGTTTTGGAAACCTTTTTTCACTAAAAGTTTTAAAAGATTCTTTTTCTCTTTGTATCCTTCAAATTTCATCAGTCTGGTCCGCTGAGGAGACGATGGTGAAAAGAACAAAGACGCGTCAGGACATCCTCCAGGACAGCAGGAGGCGCTAAAACACAAAGCCTGAGAGAAAAAAACAAATTGAGACATTTAGAAATATACAGAAATGCATGAGAGGAGCAAACTACTTTAGTCATGTCTGACTCATTAGTTATCAAAAGAACAAAAACAAATTACATGTTTTAATTTGACCTCTTCCATTAAAATGTATCACAAAAGAAATTAGTCAATAAAATATTTATAAAGTATGCAATGTTTATAATATATGCACAAACAGTAGATCTCCATGTCTCCTTACCTGATGTGAAAGTTTTCATCAATGTGTCCGTTTTCACAGCCAGGCCCCAAACAAATACCTTCTTCCTCCAGTAACCTCCGACAGTACAGAACATCTGCTGACAGTCGTAACATCTGAAATAAATCAGGACACATTTTTAAAATCCCAAGTCATAAACCTTGAAAGGCATCCAGTATGTCATTTTTATTCCTTTAGTCAGTTTCAGTTTACCTTAGCCTCTTCAATGATTTCAGCAGGTAAATGCAGGTGAGGATATAGGAAGACTCCTCCCATCGCCGGCTGGCAGCTCATCCCTGGTAGGGCGTTCAGAAGCTTGCATGCTCGTCCTGCATTCTGGGAGAGTGTTTCTGCTCTCACAAGAATCTCCTGTGCAAGAAAAATGTTATTCTACATATGCTAGTGAACAAGGAAAAGAGGAAAGTCCAAACTTATCTGCTCCCGGTGCTTAGTGATTCACAAGTTTGCTGTTAGAAAGGTGTTGTGGTACCTTAATCTCGCTATGCTTTGACCGCAGCCTGGCAATAATATTTCATTACCACCTCAAAATATGATTATAGATGGTAGAAAACATATAACATGGCAAAAGTGGAGTCCCCGATATTAACTCAGACCATAGGTTTTGAGAAACTTGTTTTACGCTCATGAAAAAATCTAATTATTAAAAGATTATGATCATACTTTCACTGAATGTGGATGCAATTTATTTTTCAAGACAATTTCTTTTATAGGGAGCAGTAAATTTGCTTTTGTCTTTGTACCTGTGTGTATTTTTCATACGAAGCATCTCCAGGTGCAGGTGGATTGACCATGATCTCAATCGCCAACTGTGGTAAAATGGAAGCGCTGGACGGATATTGGAATAAAATCTTTTTCACTGCTGGATCCAGGTTGATTAACTCCATATAGCCTCCTCTCAGACCACACCTGGACAGTGCAGGATTAGCAATGTCAGAAGCAACAATATCTCAGGAAGCAGTAAAAATATGAGGAAAGAAGACGGCAATAATAAATAGAAAAAAAAAAAAACGTAATTCTATAAAACATAAATCAACATAAATAAAACCCAGAGTTAACAGTTAAAGTCTTCAAAAATTACTGTTTAGTTTTTATAAAAATCTGTGTGTTTATAGAAATTTTGTGCTGTATGTTTTCTAAAATGGAAACACCAAAGCTACTTTTTTTATGATAAAAACAGTGAAGTTGCACTGAAATCTTATTTGAACTGCAGAAATCCAGTCCCGTTCTGTTATCTAAGCAATATTATTATTGCTTAGATAACAATATTTTTGTTATCTAACAAGATCTTTCAATTTATGTAAAAATTCTTCAATTTGTGTAAAATTGTTCTTTTGTTTCTTGCATAATTTTTGCAATAAAATGGGTACATCATAGGCTGTTTTGAAGTGCATTTTTCACATTTCAAAAACTACTTAGATCGACACCTCTTTTAATAGAAATGCCCTTTGTTTCTTTAAAACTGTCATAAAAAACGTCATATTTTGTGTAAGTCATGACGAAACAGAAGTGTATTTACAGTCCAGACCCCTGAGATAATAGCTGTGATGCTCACTCTCCCATTGTGGCTGTCGATATTGAGTGGAATGACACCATCTCCACTGTCTCTGAGTAGGAAACGCCCATCTCAAACAGGACCTTTTTATATGAGAGAAACTCTTTGTCCTGTCCAAACACACTGTCCTGGTAAACCTAAAATGGTGCAACAAGACAGAAAGAAAGGAAGAATTTTAAGTAGAAATAAGCACATAATAATCACAGAAATGTGTCTGTGCAGAATGTACTTACTTCTTCAACTAGCAAAACAAGTCGCTCCGATGCTGCGAAGTGAATCATTTTTTCTATTGTTTCTCTGTCTTGCACATGACCTGACAAAACAATGAAAGACATTTACTTGGTCTTTGTTGACAGATTAGGTTTCTACCAACAAATCAAGATTCTGATTTTAGATTGCCTCAACTTGTTTGACTACGTGTCAGTCTCATTTTGAATTAAAGACACACTTTATAATGTTACATAATTTAGTTCAGAGTTGATGTCTAATTTAACCAAAATAAACACTTGGATATGAGAAACATATTAAATATTATGTATCCAATGACTGAACCAAAAGCAGTAAATAGAATCAACAGATAGAACCTGGTGGAGCCTTTTTTGAAGGACTTTTTATTTTGAAGGTAGAAATTTTAGGTTTTTCTGTGGATAATGTCTACATTTCTAATTTCTGCAAATTTACACATCGCACTTTACGCTCTTTAATTTTTTAAAACGAAGGCCTTAGCAATTCTATTCATTTTGCTGTCACTACACTACAGTATAAATGTGTGTTACGCACCTGTTGGGTTTCCCGGGTTACCGACGTAAATGGCTCTGGGATCACACTGCCTCCTAGCGGTCATTAGGACTCGGTGCAGCTCTTCCAGGTCTACGGCCCATCCTCGCTCCTCCGTCAGCCTGTAGGGCACCAGTTTCACCCCCACTTCATCCAGCAGCATGGGTAATGTGTGTGGACATGGCAGGGGGGCCAACACACCAGTCTCAGTCTGTCCATCCTCACGTGACAGCAAATGTATCATCATCTAAATAAGACATTTTCAAAAATCCAGCATAGCATGTCATCAGATGAGGTAACCTCTCATTTCTAGCTTTAGTTACCATACCGCCAAAGTCTTCTGTGAGCCGGAGGAGAAGATGATGTCCTCTGGATTTGAATTTATCCCACCATCTCTTCTTGTGAGAAACTCAGCAACAGATCTTTGGATTGGAGGTAACCCAACAGTAGAGGAAGAATATGAACCTGTTGTAGGAAAATTGGCCATTTGAGCAAAGAAGTCTAAACGTTTTATAGATATTGCTCTAATAAGGCTGTTTTGTCAACTCATTCCAGGCATTATTGCCAAATTAATTTGAGGCATTAATTATTTACACATTTCCATTTCTCTTTTTCAATTAAATCACAAAAAATTGAATATACTTAATTTTGCCACTCATTAGACTAACTAATACTCAGAACTGAGGGAAAACCCAATGTACTTAGTGTTAGATATTTTTTGGTATTATCATTATTACTTTAGTTCATATTCAGTCTAATGTTAATCAGTATTATTGTGATTTTGAGTTTAAAGTGTTCTCTTCCTTATGTGTGTATAAACTGACCTGGAGGTCAGGACTGTCTGTTTCATCTTCATGTGAAACAGTTAACTCTGTGTTTCTCAGACCTTAACAACCAGAATACCTCCTAACTTAAGATGTTAATCTACTTCTTTATTGACAGTTTGACCTAGAGCTGAACTGGGCTCAGATCGTAGATCAGATATCACACCTGGAACTGAGTTGCTGGTTTGTTTAGGTTAGAAGTTTTACGACCTTTGTTGTTCTTCCTGACTGCCCCTTTTGGTTGTTCTGCTTGACAATAAAACAGGGGCTCGCGTGGAAGGAGATCAGAACTTTCTGTGAACGGCTGATGGAAAGTTCTCCTTTTGCAAAAGCTTTGTCTATAAAATTCATATACGTTGTCTGTGGTCTTTTTATGTAGGTTCGAGAAAAATACCTATCACTTAGGAAAATAGCAGATTTGTATCATGTGGCAAAAATGTTTTGAGCTGTTTCTTAAAAAGTTGAAATAGTTGAAATATAGGGAGTTATTTGGATGTGAAAGCAGAAACAACTAAGATTCAACCCTGTTGTGAACTGGAATATACAGAGACATCCTTTGTAGTTTTCCGTCTCTACAGAAAGCTGTGGTCAAAACCACCTAATCCAAGTCCAAGTCAATACCAAAACTAAACCAGGACTTTGAGGATGGAGAGACAAAGCTCAAAACCAAACCAATTAGGGATCATTTTCAAGAGAATTGCTGTATTCCTAATAATTTAGTTGCTAAGCATGTATTTTTTGAAACCCATTACAGTTGTAAGTTATGTACCCTTCACTCTGAGGAAAAAACCCCTAGAACAATGAAAGAAGGATTATGCGTAAAAGTCCAACCTCATTTGTTTTGCTGTTCTCACCAATGCTGCCTCCATTACAGGCTTCCAGAAGCTTCTGTGTCTTCTGTTTGACGTCCAGAGGAAAGCTGTCTTCTTTGAGGAGCTCCGGGTAACAACACAGTGATAAGACCTGAGGAGGCAGCAGCAGGCATGCTCCATGAGTGACTGCAGAGAAGAAAATCAGCAAGAAGAGAATCTTTAAAACTAACCTGGCGAACAAAGGAGATGGGTGGCAACCCTGTCCGGTGGGGATCACAGGAGCTAAGATCAATTACCTTTGTAAAAGCTTTCTGCTCACCCTGAGAGGGAAGAAAGGGGGGGGAAATATGTAACTGCATGTAAAGTTTTAGCGACTGAAATGCGATTTGTGTGATGTGTTAGCTTACAGTGTGGCAAACTTCTGCTAGCAAGATTGCAGAAGCACCAATCATTTCTCAAGCGATCAAGAATTTTAAGAAGTCAGGTTCAACTATTAATGGTTAATGTGTTCAACTGCCTGAGGCATGAGGGTTCTGCATTCACACATATTAGTGTCCTCTAGTTATAGAGCTAAAATAAAGAGCAAACTTCAAGCCAAAGACTTGATTTAAAGGTTAACCAGGAAGCTGCTTAAACAGCTTTTCAGACTGCTTTAGGTCACAGTTCAACTTCAGCCACTGTCTACAAACAACCACTGAACACTGACTAAGGTGGTATTTGAAATATGATGTGAAGCCGATTATTTTTTTTCAACTTTGCACAAATCCTATGAAGCATGAGTGTCATGAAGTGTGTTGGTGGTGGTGGTGAGATTGAACGCAGGACCCAGGATGTAGTGAAGTTGACGTCTTTAATAATCAAGTTTAGCTCTAAACAGTCCAAAAACATGCAACACGGCAGAGTGGAGACAAAAACTCAGCACCGGCAGCAACTAAACAAAGACTGACAGAAAAAGAGCCATGCCGCCACAGGACTTTCCAGTTCTACTGTGAGGGTTTAAACTAATAAGAGCCAAGCCGCCACAGGACTTTCCAGTTCTACTGTGACGACTTAAACGAGGCTACAAAAAGCGACTTACTTGACTGACTTACGACGAACCATACTGACTACGACAAGGATCCGACCACTAACACAGACACAGGTGGGTTTAAATACACACGGGTAATCAGGGGAAATGAGACACACATGGGGAGCAATCAACGGGGAGGACAGGATCGAGACTCACAGGAACAGGACTACACAGGAAAAACTCAAAAATAAACACACAAAAACACGGATCCTGACAATGAGCTTCTGAAGTTACAAAAGTGGAGTTACTAAGTTGACCTCTAAACAGCTGCTAAATATATTCAAAATCTAAAGTCAGTAATTTGATGTTAAATATTTTTATTACAAGGAAACAAATAAGACATCAATCCAAAAATAATTTTGAAATGTAAGATTTTAGTACTTTTTGATTGTTTTGCTAAACAGGAAATGAGAAGTTTATGTTGTAGCCTAATGACTCACCTGTGCAATCTGCTGTGAGATCTGTGCAGCCAGACTCTGCAGGTTCACTGGGTCTCTGATCACCCGGACCCTTGGGTTTACCTCCTGCACAGAACTCATCTCTGTCCGTCTGACTGGCGATCAGGGCGACGATCCCAGCACCACTCTCAGGAGGCGGGTGTTCAGGAAGGTGGATCTGGTTGAGCAATTCATTGCTATTTTAAACCTACCTCATAAAAAAAGCCTGACACCTTAATTAATTGGCGTGTTTGTGGACGCTTCTGTTGAGGTGGTGCAAAATTTAAATAGTAAATTAATGCAAAAAAACCTGCTATATAAAATGATGTTAGATATGTTTATACACATGCAAATTAAACTAACTCAAACTGTCAGATTAAAATATTTTTCTAATTTTATTTTTTTATTTTTTTGTAATATACAAATGCTCAACAATAACTGATACCAATTTATTTCCAAAAATTCTTATAAAATGAGTTCACTATGAAGGGCAAATCAAGGCTTTCCACTTTTTTTTCTGCAATTTGTCAAATCCAAGACATTCAGGTTAAGATTAAAATAATAAATGTTTAGCACACCAACTCGAGAAAACAAGAGATTTAGTAAGTTTCAGTGTTGCATAGACTCCCAGCCCCCTATTCTGTTTAATTACAGGGCAACTGTAGGGAGGAACAACTCTCTGTTAACATATTGAAACATCCTGTAGATGTTTTATTATGTTGCATGAGCAGTTGTCTGCTGCATCTGGATGGTGGCTGAGAGAGACAGGAAAGAGGGAAAGACAACACTGAAGCAGTGAGCTTTAACCACAAGACCTGCAGTGCAGCAGGCTTTAATTAAAATTAGGTTTGTCTCCACTCTGTTCAAGTATTGATTATCAGGTTTAAAAGTCAAAGCAATTTTAGGATGGTTTTTGTTTAGGTGTTTTTTTTTTTTTTTTTTCCTCTGCTGAGTTTGTATCCTTTGGATCTCTGTCAGTGATGTCTGTCCTGGATCCACAGGTGAAAAGACCGAAGACGTTTCAGGACGTCCTCCAGGACTGCAGTGGGAGCTGAAATGCAGAGTCTACAAAACAAACAGAAGAAATATTTAGAAAATGTTAGTTTTACACCAGATAGATAAACTCCACATGACTGAAATCTATATTTTTATATGTTCATTTGTTAAAAATAGAACTTAAAAGAAAAATACACTTTGGAAGAACAGAAACCAGATTTAACAAGGTCTTTGAAAACTAGAGTTAATTAATAATGCAAGTCATTTAAGTCTAACACAAACATGCCAATCATCTGAAATATTCTGTCCTCACCTAATGTGGTAGTTTTCATCGTCATGTCCGTTCTCAGAGCCTGGACCCAAACAAACACCTTCCTCCTCCAGTAACTTCTTACAGTACAGAACATCAGCCCGCAGTCCTGATCTCTGTCATATAACAGACTTATAAATTATTGATGTATTACTAAAAAAAATAAAAAATAAAAAATAAAAAAAAAGTATGGAAGGCTTTTGGTAGCATATTTAACTTTTTTTTTGTTTTGTTTGAAGCTGACCTGAGCCTCTTGTATGATTTCAGCAGGTAAATGCAGACGAGGATAAAGGAAGACTCCGCCCATCGCCGGCTGGCAGCTCATCCCTGGAATGCCATTTAGAAATTCACATGCTCGTTGAGCGTTTTGGGCAAGAGTTTCCACTTTCTGAAGAATTTCCTTTAATGAATAAAGCAAAGATGTCAAGAAACAAAGATACATATATAAGAGAAAGCACACCCATGTTTTAGGCATATTCCATTCATTTCTCAGTAGCCTATAGATGGTGTTGAGTCCACTTAGTCTATTCCAAATCCAGCTGTGATGAATGAGATTCCTATTCAACCTGAACATCTTATATGTCTTATGTGTCCAAACAGTGCATACCCTCAGAAATATGTATTTTAAAATATTTTGAAGTGTTCTACTTACCTGAGTAAATACTTCATATGAAGCATCGCCAGGTGATGGTGGATTGACCATGATTTCCAATGCCAATTGTGGTAAAACTGGAGGGCTGGAAGGACCCTGCATGCTCGTTAAAAAGTTTTTGACCAGCAGGTCCATGTTGATGACCTCCATATAGCCTCCTCTCAAACCAGACCTAAACAGAGGAATTACAAGTCAGAAAAGGTCCACCTATATAAGATAAGACAGATATATTATATTAATAGCCATAAATATAATTTACTAAACAACTAACCATGAAAAAGAACAGACCACCTCCCCCCCTCAGGTTTCAAGTCCAGGGCACAGGGCATCATAGAGACATACAAGACCATACATACACACTTAGATGTTTTAAAGTTATTTTTCATTCCACAATCCCAATTTTGACACTTTCATAAAAAAAATCATTATTTCACGTACAAAATTTGACTCATTAGTTATCAAACTGGAGCTTTACTGACTAATCAACTAAAAAAAAAACTAAAACAAAACATAGGAGAACGCATGGAGTGTTATTATCTGATTAAAGGAAAAACTTTCTCAATAACCATAAAGTCACTTAAGCAAAAATGCGTTCGTGTTCCTGTTGAACTACTGGTCACACTCACTCTCCCATTGTCCCTGCCGATATTGAATGGAACGACACCATCTCCACACTCTCTGAGAAGGATGCTCCCATCTCAAACAGGACTTTTTTGTATGAAAGAAACTTCTTGTCCTGTCCAAACACATTGTCCTGATACACCTACAATAATGCGAAAAGGTGAATGAAAAGAGCCAAATTTTTATTAGTAAGACAAACAATTCGCCTGTTCAGGGTGTACTTACCTCTTCAACCAACAGAACGAGCCGCTCTGATGCAGCAAAACGAATCACTTCTTCTATGGTTTTTAGGTCTTGTACATGACCTAACAGAACAAAATATTTTTCAATTGCTTCAATGAAATAAAATTTGGGAAATAAGTTAATTACACATTTTAAAGTGAATCTCCCAGCAGGATGAATAACTTTGGTTCTAAAATGCCTGGTGGTGGCGGGACTCTGAGACTTCTACCTGTGGGGTTTCCTGGGTTACTGATGTAAATAGCTCTGGGCTCACAGTGCCTCCTGGCGGCCTTCAGGGCTCGGTGGAGCTCCTCCAGGTCTATGGCCCAACCTCGCTCTTCCAGCAGTTGGTATGGCACCAGCTTGACCCCCACCTCGTCCAGCAGCATTGGCAGGGTGTGTGGACATGGGAGAGGGGTCAGCAAACCTGTCTGAGTGGGTCCCTGTCCACTGGACAGCAAGTGCAGAACCAGCTAAAGGCAGCCATAGATAACAGAATGAAACATTTAAAGTTGCACCATAAGGTATCTTGCCTATTCCAGTTCCAACTGTCATACCTTTAAGGTCTTCTGTTAGCCGCTGGAGAAGATGATGTCCTCTGGATCTGAAGCCACACCACCGTCTCTCCTTGTGATGAACTCAGCTACAGATTTCTGTATTTGGGGTATCCCACAGGAGGAGGCAGAGTAGGAGCCTGCCATGGTCAAATCGATCAGCTTTTAAAGCAGAAACTGCTAGAAATAAATCACACGAGATAAATATATTGTACCCTACCAACACTCCCTCCATTACAGGCACCCAGCAGCTTCTCTGGCCTCTGACGAACATCCACAGGAAAATTGCTTTCCTTCAGGAGCTCGGGGTACAAACAGACTGCCAAGACCTGAGAAAGCAAACAGAAGGTGACAGGCTGTAAAGACAAACTCAGGGAAACTGTGAACCTCATTTAAAAACTAAATGCTTAGTACCAACTTGGCGAGCAAACGAAAGGGGCGGCATCCCGGCCCTGTGGGGATCCACACAGCTGACATCGATTACCCTCTGAAAAGGTTTCTGCTCACCCTGAGAGGAAACATGCCAAACCTTTCACAAACACTGTGACAGTGTATGCTGCTCCCTACCATGCAACTCCATGTGATTAGGCTGGATCAAATCAAAACAGAACATGCAGGTTGAAAGTATCTAGGTTAAATTTGAAGGAAAGAAATCAAGTTGCACAACTCCACAACACATCAAACATCACAATCAGTCACATCTCATGTGCATTTATTCCACCTGTCTGAACTCTGATAATATGTATTATGGTTTTGTGTCAGACCATAAACTAACAAGATTCATATCTTAATTGCTGTCCTTGGAGGATTATGACCAAGCAGACTTTAATGTTCTCTGTGTTTTGAAAGGACTTCAAATGATAGGCTAATGAAAGTTTCTACATTTACAATCTTCTGAAGCCTGAACCACACAAGGAAAGATGTGGAACCTACAAATTAAAGCCTTAAAACGGTTAGGAGTACATTTCAAAATGGAGACTCCTATTATTCAGTAGTATGCAGGTTAATCTCAGTTAACTCAGTTAACTATCTACAGAGCAAGTTAAATGAGCCATTTAAAATGTGTACAGATAAAAATCTATGAAGATCTAAGCTTACAAAATAACACTGGCTTGTATGCTGTGTTTGGTTTTCTTTGAAGAAAAAATAAGCCCTGCATTATGAAGAAACATGTAACTGCATAAACAGCTGAGTGTGCTTTTGTCCTCTAAAAAGTGTTGATGTTAAGCATGAACCTTCAAGATGGTGGTTTGATTAAAGTTTAACCATGAAGCTATCAGACAAAGAGCCTTTTCAAACAGTTATGGCTCCAGTTTAACTTTCACCTCTCTATAAACTTTGGTCAATGAATGATGCGACCTATATATTCAGTTTTTACCTCATACGCCTACAGTTGTTATACATTTCTTCTACACTGTTCAATATTTTATTCTGTTGTAGGGTACGTAGGTATTTTTTCTGTGCTTCATTAAGTCAGGGTTAGAGCTGTAGTGGTCAGGGTTTATCAGGAACTTTTGGAGCTGCTAATAACTCACCTGTGCGATCTGCTCAGTGATCCGTGCAGCCAGGCTCTGCAGGCTCACAGGGTCTCTGATCCCCAGGACCCTCGGATTCACATCCTTCATGGAGCTCATCTCGGTTCATCTGACTGAGGAACAGGGCGACACGCCAAGCGGGTCGGGAAGGAGGCGGGTGCTCAGGAAGGCAGAACCTCATGTTGTTTATGCAGACCAATATGTTTTTTGTTTTGTAAAACCCATAATTGGAATAATTTTATTTAATTGCATATTTTAATACAATTTCATAAAACTGATTTTTATAAAGCTTATGTAAAACATTAAAGTTTTATTTCTTTGTTGAATTTTATCAATCAGTTGTTTACTTTGTCACAAATTTGACAGATTCATACAGAGGCTCCTAGCAAATCCTATAGTTCTTCACTCTGGCTCTTTCATGTATTTATTTTTTTTAATCTTTACAGGATGAGTTTGAGAACAAATTCTGATTTTTTTAAGCTATTTAGAAAACATCAGTGCATCATACAACAGAATATTTGGGTGGATGTCAGGAGAATGGAATCGACATTTTGAAAATGACAAAAAACAACCAACTACCAAATTTACTTATCAGGTGAATATAAAGTTTAGGGTCAGCAAAGAACTACATAAATGTTTGCATTTTCTTCTATTGTGTATTTATTCACATTAGCATTATTGTATAACAGTCAAATTCTTAAAACAGCTACTCTTGTTCATATATTTTCATGCTTTTGTTATCACAATCCAAGCAAGCCTGAAAAGCAGTTCACGTATGCATTGTGTTTTGGCATGGAAGCTAAACCTAACAGTAATTTTAAAAAGGATCCAGATTTTTCCGGATAATAAAAAGGTAAATACGCTTCTCCTTCAATAAAAGCTTTTTCTAGCATTATTCTAAAAATGTCAGGAAAGAAAACAAATATTTAAATATGATCTTTCTGCTTGTCTCATGTGGCTTTGGTGTATTTCCTCTGCTGGTGACAGCTTGTTGCTTCTCAGCTTTGTCCTACACAATTCTGTTCAGTTTTCTGTCAGAGAGGCGAAGGTGGAAGGAGGAAAGGCGAGACAGAACCTCCTCCAACGTGTCAGGCGGAACCAGAATACATAATCTAAAGGAAACAAAAGAGATTATGAACCATGGTATTTTGCACATATTGTCTGGATCCAGTGGGGTTTTGTCTCATCTTGTTTCCTACCTGAGATGATGGATGCCACTTGTTCCATCATCTCCTGCACCTACGATCAAATCCTCCTCGTCCAGTAACATCTGGCAGTACAACACAACTGCTTCCAGTCCCAGCGTCTGAAAACCAGGCCAGGTGCAAGATTACAACAAAAAAATAAAAGTTTGCAACACAAGAGAAAGACATCAGCTACAAGGAAAACCACAGCATGTTTTTTTTAAATTTTCAGCTATAGTGTCTGCAGTCAATTTATTTATGCCTATTTTTGTGAAATACTGTTTAATCTTATTCTTCTGTGTTGTCGTTTTATATCAAATTCTACACCTTATTTTCTCTTTATAAGTGGGATTAGCGAAAATGTAACGAAATTAAATGTCATTAAATTTAATTAACAACATTGGCTTGCTCCTTGATCTCAGCTGGTAGATCCAGATGTGGGTAGAGGTAGATTCCCCCCATCGCCGGGCGGCAGCTCATTCCCGGTAGATCGTTCAGCAGCTTCAGAGCCCGCTGAGAATTTTGGGCCAGAGTGGCTCGAGTCACGAGAGTCTCCTTCCAAGAAAACATCATCCAAAAGAAGAATATAAGAAAATGAAAAACATTAGTTGCTGCTGAGGCTTTGGTTTTGCTCTTACATGAACAAATGTGTTATATGAAGGGTCGCCCGGACTGGGTGGGCTGAGCATGAGATCCAGTGCAAGCTGTCCTGTGACTGGTGCATTGATGTCAGTACAGAGCATGGTGTCGACGAAATGCATCACCCCTGGGTCCATGTTGACCGCCTCCATGTATCCTGCTCTGAGGCCACACCTGCACACAGGTCACCAGGGGGGTGATTAATGGAAATTAGACACCAGAAAACATGAAAATCCTGTAGGAACTTATTTAATTCTCAACATGTGTACACACACACACAAAAAAACTGTCACATTATCAATCTCTAAAATGAAATCAAATCAGCGTGAACTTGTAATGTCTTAGCCAGTAAAGGTAGAATTGCTTTGTTGTTAACAGCTTTGTTAATGTAGACTATTATAATGGCCCATTCACATGATCAAATTATAAAATATTGAATTTCATTTCATTTCAATTTAATGTCATTACTGCTTATTTCTCATGTATCCTCTAAAAGAAAAGAAATCAAATAGATAACCGAAACAGCATTGTTTGAAGATTAAACCATTATTTTTCCATTACCAGTGTTAAAATAATATACAATTCTCAAAAACCATGAAACATAAAAAAAAACAATAAAAAATGTAGCAAAATATTACAACTATTTATTTCTCAAGATTTAAAAGATAGAACTAAAGTAAAAATTAAAACACGGCGACATTATAAGATTTGAATTAAGCATTTGTCCATTCTGAGATAGAATGTGTCATCTTAACTGAAAATAAGAATCAAAGTAAATATTAAAGTTAATGAATAAAAATAACTCATTTTAAAAATGAAACTATTTTCAATCATCTATACAAAAATGAAACAATAAATGAATTACAATTAAACAGTGACAATCATGTCATTCCACTTAAGCACATTTTTATAGTTTTTTTATTCTTAAATTGAGGCATCTGTACTTATAAAACTGCATTATGCATATTATTTTTTTATTTTGTCACCAATAATAATATTTTTAAAGGAGACATATTGAAAGTTTATCTTCAGATTTAAAAAAGAAAATCATTTCTATTCTTTTTCATAATAATAATCCATAAATTACTGTTTTGTCACAATACTTCTTCATCAATATATTTTTCATTCAACCCCATAAACCACATGTGTCAAACTCAAGGCCCGCAGGCCACATCAGGCCCGCCATGTCATTTTATGTGGCCCGCCCCAGCATTTTATAGGCCGATGATTGACTTAAAATAGGTTTTGAGCACGAATTGACTACAAACTACATTTCCCACAATGCATTCCGATTGTTACCAGCCAATATTACGGCTTCTCGCCACTAGAGAGCAGCAGAGTCACCTCAAGCTGCTCATTGGTTTTCCCAGCGAATAAAACTGAGACATCGACAAGCTAACATCAAAACGTCCAAGGAAAGAAAAATCGATCTACAAGTAAGACTGTGAATGAAGATGTGTGAGTTGGTGTCAGGGCGGCAGGTCGCGCTAGACTTTTTTTGTTATCCGTTATCTTGACCGACAACATAAAAAAAAAATCGGTCATGTACTATTTTTATCCGTGAAATTACAATCACATTAACATCGGCTATTTAGTCGCATTTTATGCGGTTTATTTAATATTCACCGTGAATCCAGATCCCATCACAGATTAAGCAGATAAATGTATCTACATTTTCTCGTAGTGACAAAAACCACTGACTGAGGCCCCAATAACTTTTAATAAATTAAATTAAGCAAATTTACTTAAATTAGCATCACTTCACCCGCTGGGGTCTGAACGCACTTCCTTTTGGGTCCCATGTGCAGAAAAATCTGCGCTAATTCATCAGTCAGTTGGATCTGTCTGATCCAAACGGATCAACTGAACTCTGTGAGTGTTTTACCCTGCGCGGTCCGGTGTGCGCTTTTACCAGGATTTTTATTTATTTATTTATTTTATTTATTTATTTATTTTTGCGTGGTTTCGCTTCTCCGAAACGGACAGATGTTACGTCTGCAGCTCCTCCAGAGCGCCGCTCTCCTGGGTAACGTGAACCCAGAAGGCTCCATTTATTAAATCTGCTGGATGAGTTACTTCCAGCGGTTTCTAAGTCTCTGCGATGGAGCCTTGTCCGCAGTGGTTGACAGCGGACTGCGCATGTTACAGTCTAATTAACTTTTGCATCGTCATTTATTTCCTCAAGATAAACTACCGGCTCCTCAAATGGATTAACACAACGTTGCATTCTCTTTAGTTTTCTCTGGTCTGTAATGGAGACTTGAATTTAACGCTCCAATTCAACCAAAGGTTTGTAATGCGCTTCCTAACCATTTTTTATTTGTAAGTATTGATTTTATGGGCTGAACAGACAGAAACAGTTACCATTATACATTTTGAAGTGTTGATTTTATTTTTGTACCCTTATTTATTTTGAAGTGTTGATTTTATTTTTGAACCATTTTTTAATTGTTGATTTTATTTTTGAAACCTTATTTATTGTAAAGTGTTGATTTTATTTTTGATCCCTTATTTATTTTGAAGTGTTGATTGTCTGAAAGACCTTACACATGAATTGCCCCATATGGGGTTTGAACTGATGACCTCAGCATTACCAGCATGGTGCTCTAACCTGCTGAGCTAACTCACCTACCTTACAAATTGTTGAGTTTCCATGGATTTAAGAACTGACATGATCTTACCACAATGAAGATTTGATAAAAGTGGATATATTCTAATGTTTTTCAAAACAACATACATCATATTTTATTTTCCAGAGATTTTGTATTTTGAAGTGTTAATTTTATTTTTGAACCATTTTTTATTTGTAAGTATTGATTTTATTTTTTAGCCATTTAGCCAAGTCTCTGTAGAACCATTTGTCTCTGCTAATGACATCTTTAATACATTTTTTTGATCCCAGGCTTAGTTTATGGACTGTAATGTGAAATTAGGCACAAGTATAACTCTGACAGTTTGTTCACCAAGTTACTGTGCTCTCTGAGAGGATCTGTGGTATTTGACATTGTTCCATGCTCGTTATTAGTCTCTAACAAAATGTGGATCATCTACCAGGAACACTGCAAAGAGCCTGAGTTTCTGTAGTGTAGTGGTTATCATGTTTGCTTCACACGCAACAGGTCT